CATCGCTTGACAATGGAACCTGACAATGGATTTTAAGTTTAATTTTAATAATTAAATTTACAAATTTAGTTTCAGTTTTGAAACATGGAAATTTAGTTTCAGTTTTGAAACATGGAAAGTTTCTGTGTAGCGATGGAATCATATTTTTAAAACGAAAATAATTATAATATTGTATTTAAAAATACATATATGTTTCTCGCAAACCTCTCACAAACACAAGTTTGGTCCCTACTATTTTTGCTGTAACAACTCTACACGTCCAATCTCTATATATTTGTTTTAAAGGCTTTTAATGCCTTGCTATTACTCGATGAATAAAGGTATTTTTCAAAGCTATTGGGAAATCAATTATTGTAATATTCCCGCGAAAAATGATGGCGGACAGTTTGCTATGTCGTTACCACCTGATGACTAGAGACGGATGAATTTTCTGGTAATTTGTTAAGAAATGCTTTCCAAAACAACCCTACCTTCTCCTTCACCTAACATCTATACACACCTGTGTTCCTTTGTCTGGCCAGCCCCACCCCTTCTAAAGTAACCCGACATTGTAGGTATTTGTTGAGGGAGAAGAACGTTCAAACGGCGACTGCACGAGAAGTTGTAGGGTTTTTTTTTGTGTGTGTCTTTTTGTTTTTTCATTTTTTTTTTTTTTTTCAACGGGAGAAGGAGTACGAGCATATTTTTTTTTATTGTACTTGCTGAATAGAAGTGTTGAAAACCGCTGGCTATGATTGATATTTTTGTTGGAGAATAATTGAAAAAGTCAAAAAAAAAAAAAAAAAAAAGTAAAAAAAGGTGGGCGAGAAAAGCGACAAGTGAACATGATGAGCGCCTTGTGGAACCTTGTAGATTTCGCCACAGAATTGGTGTCAGAAAGAAGAGAAGACATTCGAGAAGGAACGTCATTTTATCATTTTCATTTACATTTGTATCAAACTTTTTGGGCGTGTTGTTATTCTTTTGTTTCGTACAAGTCGTTTTTAGAAGAGGCTTGTCATTTTTCGTCTTCTCTATTTTTTTTTTTTTTTTGAAGTTTACTAAGTGACATCGTCACCTCGCTGATCGTCTATTGAGCCTTTTGGCGAGTTTCTCTTGGTGTCGTATAAGTCGTTTGATGTCTGATAGAAACGTGTTATGTTACGAATACCTCTGTCCTTCTTTGGTCGTTTTCGAGGAAGAAAAAAAAATGGACGTGGCATTTATTTTAACAGATTGGTGTTTGAAATAAACGTAGTTTCACATACTATGGCCGTAGAAGATATTTTAACGCCACGTTACTAAAATGACCTGACAGTCCAAAGTTATTTTTATACGTAGGCTCCTAGACTGATAAAACTTTTATTGACAACGGGTTGACATGCTTTGATGTGCAGGGCTTCCAAAATTTTTAACCGTTTTTTTTTTTTTTTTTTTTTGCAGTTGGATTGATAGAGAGCTGTATCAACGTCCAAAATCTGACGGAAATTTGAAAGGATCGCTATTGATTTGTATTATATGTTGATATCTCACACTTTATGCCGGTAGATGACAAGTCAAGGTTCTGGAGAAAAAACGTCAAGGTATGACCGATATATACATATATTTTTTCGACAGGAGTATTTTATTACAATCAAATTGTTATTTTAAAAGTAAGAATTGTTGCAAAATAGGTTTAGATATAAATATAGATAATGGGTGTGTCAGCAGTGACCAATAGGTTTTAATATTTATCAATGATCTTAATTAAATTAAGTTAAATTTCACAGTTGGCATTCGTTGTTCGGCCGTGAATTTTGACCATAGATAATCTCCAAGATTTTGTTTGCAAAATATGTAAAGAATAATATAAAAAAATAATTATAATATTTTATTTAAAACTTCAGACATTTTCTATATATATATAAAATTATATATTTAGAGACAAATTGATATATATATATATATATATATATATATATATATATATATATATATATATATATATATATATATATATATATATATATATATATATGTCATTAAACATGATAGTAATGAATCACATGTGCGGTTGTATTCAATCACTAAATCACACCCATACATATAAACATGAACAAACCCGCATTCATTTTTTATATATATATATATATATATATATATATATATATATATATATAAAGAAAGAACAGTAAGATATATAAACCGGTGTTCTTATAGATATTTTTTATTTTTACAAAATAGTACTCAATGTAAATTTACAGAGCATTAATATTATAAATTAATTGATTTAAAATATGGTTTTATTTTAAATCAATTCATTTATAATATATATATAAAGGTCGACAACAGCAAGAGGGGCCATCATTTCAACTTGGAGCTAAATACATTCTTATTGTTCAAAGTAGAGTCCAATAATGTTAGAAAAACCTCGGAGAATTCCAGAAGGAGAAGGACAAGGTCATGGAAGATTGAAGTTTATAAGCAGTAAATTCGACCTTGTCTACCGAACGATTCTTTGTGGCCGATCGGTAAGGCACGTCAGCGTAAATGACGGTTCCGTATAGGATGCAGGTTCGAATCCTGTCAAAGAACGAATATTTTCTATGAAAATTTCTCGGACATTCAGGCCGGTAAATGTTATTTAATACTGTTTATTATAAACAGAGCATTTACTTAAATACTTGTATCTATAAAATAACAACGTTAAACATAAAAATGTCTTTAATAAATAAATTGTCGGACCTTGTCCATTTCTTAATATATATATATATATATATAAACGCTGTACCCAAGTTTAAAAATTAAATTTCTAAAAATAAAAAATCTTTCGTGAAGATTTTGTTTTAGCTTTAATTTCAAGCAAATAAGTTTAATATTTCGAATGAGCAAAATAATTTGCTGTGTTTCAACACTAATTTAAATTGACTGGAAAGAGTTTTCTTAATTTCTAAAAATGGCTGAATAATTAGAAATCACTCAGCAAAATGTAATTCTCTTTATTAAAAATATCTTTCATAAGTAAAATCTAGGTTTCTAAAACTTTATTTAAAAATATTAGCTGATTTGAACTTTAATTAATCTGATTTGAAACATATGTTGCTTAAATTTAGTTTAAAATATCGCAGAAATGGATTTTGAACACAGATGTAGGTGTTTTTATGAAGTGTTGACAGTTCTATTGACAGCATGACAGTTCTATTGACAGCCGGAAATATAATTAATTTTTTCTACGTAAGACGAATATACTCCAGTAATGTATAATATTTAGGAAATCCTTTTAAGTAATCTAATGTTTTATTGATTTTTATGTATTTACACTTTAAATTTACTATAATTAACGCTCTTATTTCCTGATAATGTCGTATATGGATATCCGTATTTAAAAAATCGGCATGTTTATACACACACACGCACACACAAAAAAAAAATCATTTTTAAATAGTGGTGGTCGCTGAATTGTAGTAAGATTTTCCATTTAAGATTAGCAAATGTAGTTTTTACATAATAACAATATCACCTAATGAATAAAGATTCATACAGAATTTTATATCTCTTGAAGGACTTGTTTTGTGAGCCAGATGTGATGCTCGGAGCCCCTGCACAGATAGCGACATTTTATTTTTAATTTTGCTTTTATAGCTTTCATTCCGACCGACAGGTTTGATGTGGCGTGAATCAGAACGCAGTCTAATTTAAAGCAGAGTAAGTTAGGTTTTATTAATGCTATCCTAATAGACGTGTTATTTTTCTTTCTTAGCCATTGAAAAATGCCTTCAAGAAATTAAGCAAAGTATCAGATGACAGAAAAATATCTTTAGAAACAAAGAAAAGAAGTAAAATCTAATATCCTACATGGCAGTGAATACGGAGCAATCAAGAGACTTGAAGCAACAGTTATATGGTTCTACTGATAAATGCTAATAATATCATGAACAGCACATGTGATCAACGAGGAAACTAGAAACAACAAAGAAACTGACGGTTACAATCAGTAAGATATAGGAGAAATTTCTGTTGTGAATAAAAAGAAAAGAAAGCCTAGCGAATTTAACACTCACAGGATATACTGAAGACAAGCGAAACTTGGAGAAATATCGAGTATGTTTATATGGATAGATGACAACAAAAGAGAGACAAAGTTGAGACTTAGGGAGTTTTGTAAAACCATGGTCACTCATATCCTGAAAAGACAGAGAGCTTATAAGATGATGACAGAACCCGAGTCTGTTTTTTGTTTGTTTGTTTGTTTTTTGGGGTTTTTTTTTTTTTGTTTTTTTTTAGATTTTATGAGACTTTTAAAAAAATATCAAATTTCTTTCCTTTTATAATTTCGAAATTTTTTTATATTTATCTTTTCTTGTACTGATTGTTGATAATGTTTTTGATAATGCCCTGTTAATCGATTAGATTGATTTGATTTTGTTTGTTTAATGACATATCAACACCTTATGGGTCATTTAATAATGAAATTTTTTTTTGGGGGGGGGGCTTTGAAATAATAAAAATATGATATATGTTATTCTGCTTTTACAATTGAATACATGGTAAATGATACACAGCTTTTGTGCATATACATCTTTGTGTGGACATAATTATTAGAGGCGGTGTTTTATGCTGTAGTTTTGTTGAAGTTATATTTTGGAATACTGTTTAATCTAAGAAATTTTATGATATTATACAGATTAATTTCATTAAATTCTTTTGTGTTGATTGATGTCTTGTTGGTAATTTTATTATAAATAAGTATCGTTGATAATTTTTTGAAATAATAAATGTATTACTGGTATTTTTAGAAAAGAGATGTATTTTTATACTTTCATTGTTTGGTGGGGTAACTGTTTGTCCATAGCTGGGACACTGACAGATGCTACCGTACCGGGACATAGTGGAGCTCGAAACAACAGCAGTTAAGAGTTGTTTCCACGCTCCTCAAAACCTTCCGCCCAAAGACCTTGCTACCGAGTGTAATTTGTCGTCATGCCTAGGACTAATTAGGAACCGTTTGTTATTTGTTATGATCTATACAGTAAATAATCCATCTAATGTTCGTATAAGAAGAGGAGGAGGAGGAGGAAAAAGAAAAAGAGGACAAGGAGGAGGAGGAAGAAGAAAAGGAGGAGGTGGATAAAAAAAGAAGAAGAAGAAGAAGAAGGGGTGGAAAAACAAGAAAGAGGAGAAAGAGGAAGAGGAGGAAGAGGAAGAAGAAGAAGGGGAGGAAAAAGAAAAAGAAAAGGATGAGAAGAAGAAGAAGAGGAAGAATAGGAAGAAGAAGAAAAAGAAGAGGAAGAAGAAGAGGAGGAGGAGGAAGAAGAAGAAAAAGGGGAGGCGGAAGAAGAAGAAAGAGGAGGAAGAAGAAAAGGAGGATGTGGATAAAGAAGAAAAATAAGAGGAAGAAGAAGAAGAAGAAGAACAAGAAGAAGAAGAAGAACAACAACAACAACAACAACGACAACAACAAGTTTTATAGTCCTTTCTAATTTTTGGCAATCTAGGAAGTTAACAGCTTAATTATATCGTTTATTTTCTCTACTAGTTACATGTGCTAGCCATGTTCTGTTGTTGCTGCTGTTGGAAGTCTTCAAGTGAGCTGCTTTTTTATTTCATAAAGCTCTTCGTTTACGATTATGTAGCGCCGACCTAAACGTATTGATAAAGTATCTTTTTTTTTTCATTCCGCATCTCAACTGCCGAATGGAAAACATTTTCTATCGCCATAAATGACTGCGTTCGCCTCGTAGAAGCATCATGTCATTTGTCAAACTATTCTTCGTGTTATCAAAGAGGAAACATTTTTACACGTCTTCTATAAATCTCTGACTTCTAAGTGAATAATGACAGTATACCTAGTAAATTGATATTTAAAAAAATTCATTTTATTTGAGTTCAAACTCCTGTACCAGGAGGAAGCGATTGACGTCACTTGAATAGCGTCTGTTAAAGTGATGTCACATCATCATCATCATCATCTCCTTGACTTTTATAATTGTAGGGGGGGATCCGAATGCAGAAGCTACACTGAATCTCCTCCACAACGGTCTATCAACGGCAGCCATCAACAAATAGATGTCACATTCGTCCACCAATAATGTAGTTCTGTTGTTCTTTAAAACAGTTTAAGGTTTAAGAAATGTTTGGTAACATAAAATACTTTCACCTCTAGGAACAGAGTTCCCTATAACTTATTCTTAATGACATTTTCTCTCCCTCTTAAAAGTGACCCTATAGTATTGTTGATTGTAAAATCAACAGTATTAAGGGGTCAGTTTTAAGAACAGTACAATGTCGCTCACATGGATGAAACACATGTTCACCTTTGCGTAAAATAAGATTTATTGTCCTTTAAGTTAAATGTCTGGTAACGATTGTATTCTGTTTGAAAAATCAGATAACGTCGGAAACATCCCAGGGCAAAATTCAGCCCCATGCATTGTGGTGTTTGTCATTCAATAAATAGTAGTTTGTCAAGCTAGTAATTATTAAAAAGCGTACAGGTAAGAATATAAAATTAAATAGTTGACCGTATGAATTATTCCCTCACTTGATTTCCAATAATCACTATTAAAACCATTACTTTCCCTCTGTCTTTTCTACAAATGCTTTCACGGTAACTACCCCCACGAGCTACTTTTGCTAGCTCCCAGACTGCATGAATCTAAACGTGCTACTAGGCTGGCATCTCGGTTCCAACCTTTCACTTTAGCAACAGTTAAATGCGGGCGTCTCTTCTACTTTATGTCTCGCACCTCTTGTCTGTGGAATTCCTTTCCTATTACTTGTTTCCCTGATAGCTATAATCACCAACTATTCAAACGTAATGTCAATCGACATCTCCAGATGCGTTGATCTATTCTCTCTCCTTCTCTTCATCTTTTCCTCTATCACCCCTCTTTACTCTCGCTCCCACTTACGGTACCCCCTTGCGTGCTAGTGTCATCCCGTTTTGTTTGGGGTGAAATGCTCGAAAAAATAAATAAATAAATAATAATAATAATAATGATAATAATAATAATAAAAGCAAATCGCCCTGACATTATTAACAAAGATAGAAAAGAAAAATTTTGCACACTGATTGACATGATTTTACAAAACATTTCATCGAAAGCTTTTGAAAAACGAAGCAAATACAAAGACCTGGAGATGGAAATAACAAAAATGTGGTACTTAAAAAATAAAACTATTCATGTTGTGGTTGGAGCTCTGGGTCTGATAACGAAAGAAACTCAACAACAAATCAAGAAAATCTCTGGTGCACCATCTCTCCAAGGAATAAAAAAAAACGATTCTAACAAGCCCAGACTATATCCTACGAAGAGATTTGATTTTCGGATAGAAATAGAAAAGATTGTACTCACAGGTACAGCCCACACCTTACGAAGGACTTTATCTATGTAAAATATGTGCGATAATTTTTTTCAAAACTGCTCAGTGGAAAATGTCATGATGCCATTTCTAAACTCAGGTCTTTATTGAGGACCCGAAAGAAATTAGTATACACCAGAAACCAAAGGAAATAAAACAACAACAACAACAACAATAATAATAATAATAATAATAATAATAATAATTCTTGCTACACAGGAACCATGTTTGCTAACTAGAAATTACGAATCACACATACTGAAATATTATGTTGACCCGAAATGCCGATTATGTGATAAATATCCAGAAACAACTGATCATCTTGTATCAGGTTGCACAGTTTTAGCACCCACTGAATATAAAACTCGGCATAATAAAATAGGCACTGGAAAATATGCAACTTTTACGGGAAGAAGACTGTAAGAAACTGGTATGAACATCACCTAGACCCCTTTACAAAGATAGGACTTATAGCAATTTTATGGGATTTTACAATACACAGAGAGAGAACAATCAAATCTAATCGCCCAAACATCGTGATCAAAGATCACGAAAACAGAACGTTCTTTCTTACTGATATGGCAGTTCTTGTAATATATCTTTGAAGATCTCCAGAAAACTATCAAAATACATGGAACTTGAAGTTGAAATCTCACAAATGTTCTCACCAGTGCCATTCTTGAATCTCTTGCAAACAAGGACTCGTCAGGATTCCGTTTATGTTCTTGTTTGTGCTTTATTTTATCGTATCTAGAGATCAACTATTGTCGGTTTAACTCTAGTTTTAAGGTGCCTAAGGACATAAATGGCTTCATGACATTTTTCACTGATCATTTTTGTAAAAACAACAAGAAGAACAAAACAAAGATTACACACATTTTACATAGATAAAGCTCTTCGTAATGTGCCAGCTGTACTTGTGATCACAACTTTTTGTACTTCTTTAAGGCATGGGCTACTAGGAATCCCTTAAGTGAGACTATTGGAAACTTTTCCACTCAATCCGAGGGCTCAAACTACAAATGGGATTATTGATCTCCTCATGCGTCACATTTTTGAGATCCTTGTATTTTGGTGAGTTTTTGAAGATCTGCAAATATACATTACAATCTGCTTGAACTGCCAAGTCAATAAGAAAGCATATTCTGTTTTTGTGATTTTTTATCATGATGTCTGGGCGATTAACTTTTATTGTTCTGTCTGTGTATATTGTAAAGCCCCATAATATTGTTACAGATCCTATCTGTTGTAACTTAGGGAAGTTTACTGAATAGAATAATCAAACGAAAGTTGCTAATGAACGATAATACTTAGAACATGAACAACACATATAAGATTCGCCAGCGGCGCGTAAAAGTAGGCAACTGTTAGAAGTGAGTCAAGTGAATTTCACAATGAATCTCCAAATGCAGATCAACATACAGTATTTACTACTCTTGTTATGTGAATGGGGATATACCCATTATCACACTTCGGTATGCAACAACACTATCTCTGCAACCGATTATTATTATTATTATTATTAGGCGAGAGCGCAGCACGCCAATATAGTGACTATGGGTACAAATTTACCAACTCTAATATACTCACCATGAACCCCAGCCTGATAAGAGTATACCAGGCATACGTATCACAGCTAGATAGGCTCCATATGTTGATATGTTTTTGATAAAAACAGTACACAAGCTTGAAGTTGGAGCTTGGTTAAAAATACCCCCGGACAGACTCTGATTGAAGGTGTTTTCAGCTATTTCGATGTGACTCCCAAGTTAGGTTAGCTGCTTCAGCCCTCACGTTTAGAATGATCCACCCTTTTGACACCCGGCCGCCATGATGCTCACCAACAACTCTCAACAGAGATACGCAGTGTGTATGTCCTCAGAAGACATGTCCAGCTGGTTACGGTCGGGCAACTGACAAACAAATATGTGGTATTGAACGCGGATATTTACAGTAGCCCATGTTAATTCACTAAGACAAAACATGTACAAGTTGATATTTCCAATCGATTAAGATTAGAATCACGAGAATCATGCCCTGTGCAGCATCGGAAGATTTATTATTATTATTGTTTTATTTCCTTTAATTTCTGGTGTGTACACATTTCTTTCCGGGTCCCGACCAGAGACCTAAGGTCAGAATAGGCATCATGACATTTTCCACTGACCAATTAAAAAAAAAAAAACACGGACGCATAAACTTTACACAGATAAAGTCCTTCGTAATGGGTGGGATTTATTCGTGCGAACATTTTTTTGTATTTTTTAAGGCATGGACTTCCAGGAATCCCTTCAATTAGTCTACTGAAGTCTTTTACACCCAACCCTAGGGCTCCAACTACAACAGGGATTGTTGATGTTCCCATGTGCCAGATTTTTTGAGATTTCGATTACAAGGTCCTTGTATTTTGACAGCTTTTTGAATATCTTCAAAGATACATTGCAGTCTGCAAGGGACTGCCATATCACTAAGGTGGCACTTTTTTGTTTACGATCTCTAATAACAATGTCTGGGCGGTTACTTTTGATTGTTGATTATTATTATTATTATTATTATTATTATTATTATTATTATATTATATTTCTTTGATTTTTGATGTGTACTCATTTCTTTCCGGGTCCTGACCAGGGACCTAAGGTTAGAAATGGCATCATGACATTTTCCACTGAGTAATTTTTCTAAAAAGAAAAGAAAAGAAAGATCACATATTTTACATAGATAAAGCCCTTCGTAAGTTGTGAGCTGTACTCGTGAGAACAATTTTTTGTATTTCTTTAAAGTATTGGCTACCAGGAATCCTTTCATTGAGTCTAATGGAATATTTTCTAATCAATCCAAGGGCTCCAACTACAACTGGAATCGTTAATCTTTTTCATGTGCCACATTTCTGAGATTTCTATTTCAAGGTCGTTGTCATTATTGTTATTATTATTGAGCTTTCCGACTTGTAGTAACTGGCAGATTTCAGTCGAGATCAAGTGACAGCAATGTGGCAATAATCCTGTACTTTTCTTAGTGTTTTAACTGATTTTAGAAGTACGTGATGGTTTCAAATTCTCACTTCTTCCAAATTCCTTTGATATACTACACTGGTTTGTTTAAAGTGCGCCAATAATGATGGTCACAGCT